ATCTAGCCGAAGATCGTGGGTTCGAATCCCGCTCGTGACACTGACTTTTTTATCTCAACTAAAAACTTTAATTAATTGAAAGATACTAATTGGTCAAGCGGACCACGAAACTAGTGAAATTAAAAATAGTTTTGACTGTCTTTTCAAAACCTGCATTATTTATTTAGAAATGGTGAGTTGCGGTCTGATGTGTTCACGTAGGTTTCAGAAAAAAGGCACTCTCGACACGACACGCAAGAATGGCACAATTACACAGAAGACAAACACTTTGAGCTCTGAAGATGATCTCAATAAAGATCGAAACGTTGGCACGATAAAGAAAATGTTTTTCTCAAACCTACATCACACCAGACCGCATCTCACGATTTCTAAATAAATATCGATTAACGGTCACTAATCACCACACATACCTGCATTATTTTTGCACCAGCCCAATAATGAAATAGTTGCAATAGATATTCAATTCGGTTGTTCCTAGTTTGTACAACTGAACGACGCTATCAAATTGACTTGTAAATTTATTGTGTAATGTATTAACATTTTTCAAAATTAAAAATTATATAAGTTATACTGCATAATAAATGATGTAACAACGGCTCATTTGATAGTTTTGATTCAACGTCGAAGTATCGCATTTCCAATACTAGAACTTAAGACATCAGCATCTTCTATTAATAATAATTTAAACAAAATTAACAAAAGTAACTAAATTTATCTAGCTTGTGAAAGAGCCACTTTTTGCCCGTTAATCTAGATGAGAGTCACAAAAAAAAAGGAAAATCATTACTTACGAAATTTAATTTTGGAGTTTTGGTGATGGAATGATGTCATGGATTCATGCACATCCGCTGTGATAAAATTCGTCGATATTTGAAACTTATTTATTCTTAAAGATTACCCTTAAAGGTCTTAGTCGATAACGAGCGTGTTCAGTTTATGGCCGTTGGCAATATTAGGCCGACTAGCAAGCCAGATTTAGAGGAATCCAATTTCAATATTCCTACCAGGAGCGGGCTGTTACTCCACCACAAATATTTACCATCACGACATCCGACATGACTGACACGCGGCTTTCTTGCCGGTGTAGTACTCCTCCTCCCACGAGGGACACACTGCTTTTATAATCCGATGCCCGAAACTGAAATAAGCCAGAGACACGAAAGATGAAATGTTAACAGACCGATTCGAGGCATCCGAGTCCGGCTTCTTTTATTATTTAACCCTTTTATCCCGATTTCTTTTGTCATCCTTCTTTGTGTTGTGTAATCTCCATTACTGCGTTCGGCCTGCCTCAGCCTCCGGCGGGGACGGTCTATTTTTACACTTATTAAAATCCTAAGTCTTCCAGCACGCTGACACATGTCGGCTACCTTAGATCCTTCAATTTGTTTTAGAGGATTTTAGTTTTCTTCCACTACTTACAACCGTGATGAAAATGCAGTTAAATCGTATCAATTAAGTCAAACTAAAAAAAGGAAGAAAAAAAACTAACTTGGTCCTTTTTCGTTCACTATTCCGCCTATTCTCGCTGTTTCGGTCTGGCAGACGCATTTCACCTTTTCACACTTTTCAATACTTTTGACTGTGTTACGCAGCTAATATACATATACGCTTATCTCTCTCAACTTTGCTCGATGCCTATTTTCACTTAATTAGCATTTTAACTGACCGAAAATTCTATGTGCAAATCAGTACAAAGTCATAAATTCATAATCTAGACATATCCTAGGGTACCCCATGGATCTGGTTAACTTCGACAACACATTTTGCGCTCCGGGGCCAATCTTGCCAGAGGACGCTCTCCACCAACTGACTGTCAATTCCATCAAAATGGAAGTTATAGTCCGAACTTTTATTTGCCTGTGGTAATCACCGTACATGTTTAAAAAGCGACCCCTACACCGGTTGAAGATTTTGACCCATCCATGCAGATTACCATGAAAGAAGGGCATAAATTCGACTTCAAACCACTTCACGTTTTAGGATTTCCTGACTCGATCTTCCGAAGAGATATTTGTGTTGGGGATACAAAGGAAATTATTTAAAGTTAATCCTGTCACTAAATTCGAACGCTGTTCTTCCTTTAATGAATTGGACTTGCAAGGTTCATAAGAGGTGCCCAATAGATTTTTGTTCTTCCGGTACTGACGGTTAACCCTGAATCAATGGAGGAGTGTGCTGCTTCAATTGCGTTACTAACCACATAATTAGGGATAATAAAGCAGAATATATTTAGTAGGATCGGGGATGTGGTCTAAAGAATGTTCTGGTGTTGAAACTACACCAATTTTTTTTTCACCTTCCTCAGTGCTAGATTCTAACATTTGAAATTATTTTTAAATTTATTTAGAAATCGTGAGATGCGGTCTGGTGTGATGTGGGTTTCAGAAAAACATTTTCTTTATCGTGCCAACGTTTCGATCTTTTATTGAGCCCTGAAGATGATCTCAATAAAAGATCGAAACGTTGGCACGATAAAGAAAATGTTTTTCTGAAACCTACATCACACCAGACCGCATCTCACGATTTCTAAATAAATATCGATTAACGGTCAGCTTATCACCACACATTATTTTTAAAAGTTTTTTTCTTTTTAACATGTATAAATATTTTTCACTCTTTTTGATATTTCTTATACTGAGTACAATGTTTTCAATAAATAAATTGATAAATAAATAAATGGCACTTACAAACTATTATCACAGACAAAATAAGAAATGTCAAAAAGAGTGAAAAACTATTTATACATTTTGGGGGGTGGGGAAACAATTTTAAACACTGATGGAGAATCTGTAAGTTGGAAAAGCAAGTTGATTTTTGATTTTCACTTACACACATGAGCAATAAAATATTAGCACAATTATAAAATATTATATGTATATGTATCCGTTGTTGAGCCCTGAGGAAGGTGAAATAAAACACCGAAAGCTTGGCGTAATTTCAACACCAGAACATTCTTTGGACCACATCACCGATCCTACCAAATATATTGTTGAATAAAAGCTGGTCAATCACCTTTGCATCAATAAAACAGAATTATAAGAATTCGAACTGTCTTCTAATAATAAAAGGTGGTATAGTAAAAGCACATTCATAGCTCTGATAATAATCTCTTGGGGGCGTTGATGGTCTTTTTTTATGTTTTAATTGTGGAAAATTTATTAACAGTATATATACATATGTTTACAATTAAAATTAAAAATAAAATACTTGTTCCATTATACAGTATAGTACAGCAGATTATATAAGAAAACGAAATATAACTATAAAATGAGTTAGAAAAAGAAAATAACTTTAAAAGAAGGAATCAAATACATAACTGAAGTGATATTCTAGGATCGAGAGACAAGGCAAGCCGGGCATAACCAAGGCGAATGATGAGGTGAAATTTTGTTGTAGATTCACTAATTTCGTGGTCCGCTTGACCAATTAATATATTACAATTAATTAAGGTTTTTGGTTGAAATAAAAAAGTAAATGGCACGAGCGGGATTCAAACCCACGATCTTCGGCTTGATACGCCGCTGCTCTACCACTTGAGCTATTGTGACCGGGTTATCTGCAAAAATGGCTACATCATCGGCAAACATCAATACCTTTATTATCATCGTTCCACAGGCATGAGCACCATATTCAAGAGCCAGATGCAAATCATCGATTAACAACAAAAACAGAATTGGGCTCAATAGGCAGCCTTGGCGCTCGTATTTTTCACCTTGAAGGAATCTGTGGTTCCATCTAAACTTCTCATGGCAGCCGATTAGTTAGAATATAGGGATTTTAAACAATGAACAAATTTTCCTGCATTGTAAAGCTTCAGAAATAGAGCAGAATACTCTATACTATCAAAAGCTGCTTTAAGATCAACAAAATAGCAGTACAGATTAGCACCCATTTTTAGAAATTTAAACTTAATGAGGTTACATAAGGCAAATATGTTGTTAAAGGTGGAGTTCCCACATCTAAAGCCTGCCTGATTTTTGCTTAGTAAATTGTTGTCAGTGACAAAGATTTTTAATCAGCGAAGGAGTAAACCACTATTTTAGCAATCGAATCCAGGCATGAAATTCCTCTGAAATTAGAAACATCATTGATCTTGTCATGTTTGAAAAGAGAGAAAATTAGGGAATGACTGAAACTGGAGGGAGTAGAACCATTCAGATGAAGTAGAAGAGATATAATAATTTTTCACAAAACAATTCCAGAGCATACATAAAAAATTCATAAATAACCTGATCACGTCCGTTCAAATCATCAAGAGAAAGGGGGTGTCAGGTGAAGTAGATGGATGAAAAGTTCAGTGTATGGTGCATAAAAGGAATCCCTGTAGGGGTTAAGCAATTTTTTGAAATGTGACGCCCAAGATGTTATCGATATTGCTTAACACATCTTGATATGTTAAGCATAACACATGATCCAGGATTATCATCGGGGGGGGGGGGATTTTCGATTCTATGCCTTTTTTTCTTTTTTTTTAAGACAAAGGGGACCTAAAAATGTGCAAATCGTGAGAAAACTGTACAGATCATTTTTCGTCCCAACACAATACTTTCTCCTCCTTCAAAGGGAAAAACTGGGGGGGAAAATCACTGGATTTTTTTTTAATGTTTCAAAAGAAACATAATTTTCATAAGTTTCCAAAATGTTTTTCGTCATAGTCTGCAATGTAAATGTTTTTAGTGACCAACATTAACGAATATAAAAAAATTAATCACCAACTTAGAGGTTACCCCACGGAGAGATCAAATAAGAAGATTGGAACCAGAAATCAGAAAAGCATCAGAACGACATGTCTAATCATGAAAAAAATCATGGTCTACAATGAAATTTTTTTTGCACAAAACATAAACGAACAAAAAAACCCTTCACATTCATACTTACAGTTTAATCTCATTCTTCTTAAACAAAACAAAAATCATATTGTATTTATGTTGTACGCATTTGTTTAATATATTAACAAATTATGATGTTTGTTAATGATTGATTTTCCTTTGTTTCAGATTTAGATCATATTACCGCTACTAACCTTCTTGACATACTCGACAATGGTGTCGTATTGTGCCATTTAGCAATGGTGATCCACGAGAGAGTGAAAGATGCCGTTGATACAGGACTTGCTTCCGGCGTAAGTTGTCCAAATTTATCCTTTAAAATACATAACAGTATGGATTGATTACATTGATTATTTTGGACTATAGTTAGGCGGTTAATATTTATTATTATTATAGTTTTGTTAATTTATTTTGTGTTTTTTCATACAATATTTGAACATGATGAAACGTAACACGAATATTCATAATATATATTTCAATATTTTTTTTACATTGATTTGTTTGCAGCTGTAGAGCTGTTAATAGATTTTTCTTTTTTTTTTTTCCTCTTATAACAAATTTTTGTCTGAAGGTTGGTTATCCCTGATCTAGATCTTCATATGTTTGCTGTATGTTTCAGATTAGGATGGTCATGGGTGATCAAACTACTGACAATTGGTCTAAGTCAGAGAACACTTAACTGTAAAACTTTACATTTCTGTTATTCTGTTTGATTATGCTACCAGATAAAACAAAAAATAAAATAAAAACAGAGCTGGACTGAAACAATATGTACTTAGTTTGAAGTTCGAATATAATAAATCATTAATTCACTACTTTCGTGGTCCACTTGACCAATCAATACTTGACAATTAATTAAGGTTTTTAGTTGAGATGAAAAAAAGTTAATGGCACGAGAGGGATTTGAACCCATGACCTTCGGCTAGATATGCCGCTGCTCTACCACCTGAGCTATCGTGACCTCGATCCACTCAGACACCAACTTCCCATCTCAACCCCACCTTTTCAATTTCAATTTGAGATGGGAAGTTGGTGTCCGAGTGGATCGAGGTCACGATAGCTCAGGTGGTAGAGCAGCGGCGTATCTAGCCGAAGGTCGTGGGTTCGAATCCCTCTCGTGCCATTAACTTTTTTTCATCTCAACTAAAAACCTTAATTAATTGTCATATAATAAATAATTGAGTCTTAAATTTATGAAGTCTGAGAACCCACTCTTGAACAGTTTTTTTTTTACCACTACCCATAATAACATTTTTTAGTTGTTCCTTGATGCTAATTTTCAGGTTCAACATTCAATACTTAGGCTTTTCAATAAATATTGATAAAAATGTATCATTGACTATTTAAATGAGATGAATGTAGTAGTTTGTTCCTTGAAACCAGAACTGTAATTTAAGACAAAGTTAGGAAGTTTTATCCTGAGATTTTCTTCTACATTGAAGAAGAAATAGCCCAAGAAATTAAAAATTTAACTGCTAAAAAGGCTCTAGGATATGACCTTATCACTGGAGAAAATTTTAAAAATTACTGAAAAAGGGATTAGTTGAACTAACATGCCTATTTACTGCTGTACAACTGAAATATGTTCTCAGGATCTGGAAATTCGCAAAAGTCATTACATTAAAAAAACAGGAAAACTGGTGAACGAGGTCAAATCATGTAGATCAATATAAGTCTCTAAGCTTTTTGTAAAGTTATTACTAAAAAATAAAACCCATTTTAGACAAAAAAATCATCCCTGACCACCAATTTGGATTCCGAACAAGACATTCAACAATAGACCAAATTCACCGAGTAAAAGACTAAAAATCATTCGAAGAAAAAGAAATTTATACTACTATCTTCCTAGATGTCTCAAAAGAGTTTAACGAGGTCTGGCATGAAGGATTCATCAGCAAACTAAAAGGGATGCTGGCAAAGCATGTAGATATTTTCAGTTCCTACCTAATTGGCAGACATTTTAGAGTCAAATAAAATTATCAATATTCTCAATTAAAAACAATGCAGGAGTGCCACAATGTAGCAAATTATGTCCACTACTTTACTTGTTACAACTGTGTTGTTATACAGCAGTGATTTTCTGAAAATAGATGAAGTGTAAAATTGCAACGTTTTCAGATGTCACAGCGGTGATATAAGTAGGACCGACCATCAACCATTCATCCAAAATGAGTACATATAAATTTTACAAACAAAAAGTGGACGATGTTCTGTCTCTCATTGTCGATGGAACTGTTATACCCCAAATACTTATTCAACAGTACTGCTAAATATCTGGGGCCAAATATCAAACACAGCAATATCAAAATAGTAAGTTCCTCCCCTTCCTCCCACTAGTAAGTTATTGTGCAGCCGGATGGGCCAAACGACTACCTAGAAAAAGCAAAGCTATAATAGAGCAAAGCCAACGGATAGCTCTTATAAGAACCACAAAAGGGTACAGGACGATTTCAACACATGCCCTACAAGTAATAGCCAACGCACCGCCAATAGACCTAGTCCTTAAAGAAAGGGTGGTCATCCACCAAAAAAAGAAAAATGAGGCTATTGATATAGGAGCAAGCCAAGGAGAAATAGACTGGTTCCGAAGCACAACGGGGAAGAGGCAAAAGAGTACTTGGGAAAAATGACAAGGGCATCATGGCAAGAAAGATAGACAAATAGCAATAAAGGTCGGCTAACATCCAAATTTTTCCAAAGCGTTGAAAAAAGACCAAAAGGAAAATGGCTACACCCCGACTACTGGACCACCCAAATGCTATCAGGACATGGAAACTTCGCAAGCTATCTTCATAAATATAAGAAAAGAGAAAGCCCTTTATGCTCCGTTTGCAGCACTGAAGAAGACGCCGAACATAAACTCTTCAGCTGTATCAAATTCAAGGCAGAAAGAGAACGTTTGCGAAAGACCATCACCTCAGCAGAATGGCTGCCTAATCTCCAAAAGCTAGTCTGTGATATCAAATCTTTTGGAGCACTAAAAGACTTTGCCTCAAATACGCTTAAATGAACAAGTCCCTATTTATTCTAATTATTAAGTCCTAAATATTGTTATTATTGTTAGAGTTTTATTACTGTTATTTATTTATTTATTGCATAATTAAGCATAGGTTTAGGTTTAGGGTTCCAGGCTTTTTTCCTCTTGTTAGTAAGAAAATTTTAAATAATATAAATAGATAGAAAATAAAATCAAGGAAAAGTAAATGTGCAAGGGGAAACCAGCACGGGAAGACCTTTTGTTTTAGGTTCTAAAATGAAAATATGGTCCCTTCAAAAACCGACCAGCGGTCTCGCCTTAAGGAAAGATCGTTGGGAGGTATTTTTATCCCATCTATTTGAAATCCCTTAGATATACAAATTTGATGAAGCTAAAGCGTTTGTCCATCGGTATGGGGTCTTCCTCAGGTGCGGCGGGGTGGTGGAAAGGGTAAAAAAAAAAGCAATATCAAAATAATGTCTTACATAATGTGGTCAATGCATTCTCCCCTCAGCCAGCACAAGAATGTGAAATTGATCACACTTCTACACAATTGAAACACTGTCAGAAGGTTGAAAAGAACAAAACCATACGAATTAGTGTAGTTCAAAATTTTGTGAATAATGAAGTGTAAAGCTTATTGTACCAATGGGTTTATAAGAATGTAAACATTTATTTGTTATATGTATTAATCTAAAATTAATGGTTGGTCTAATAAGACCAGTTTTAATAAATAAATTTTTAAAAATGCATTGAAAAATATGGTAGGGAGATAAAACAAAAAACTTGTATGACTTTTTTTTCACATGACCCATGTATTTGAATGATAAGAAAAATTGAGGGAAAACCTTTTTGATATTGGGTTTTCATATTTGTAAATTATTCTCAGGCAACATTTATTTTCTGTATTAATTTTTTTCTTCTTCATAGCCTGTTCCAGTAATAAAAGGACCTTTTTTTGAGAAAGCAAATAGGAGAAGTTTTTACTCACGTGATAATCTTGAGAAGTTTATTACTTTTTGCAAACACCTTGGCGTTCATCCCAATTTGTTGTTTGAAACAAATGACTTGGGTAAGTTTAGGAAAAGAACTACTGAAGACATTTCGGCCATTAATTTTTATTTGAATGACTCTACAAACTGATATATTTGATTCACATTTTATTTTAAATTTAAAACACTTTAAGAAATTTACAAACATAATATAGTTACTCTTTCATAACAACCAAAATAAACTACAAAAAATAATTAAATTTGAAATTACAGTGCAACAGAACCAGCCAAGAAATGTGGTGCTTTGTTTAATGGAAGTTTCCAGAATTGCATCAAGGTATAATTTAGAGCCACCCAAACTCGTTGCGTTAGAAAAAGAAATTGCTGAAGAGGAGTCACGAGAGTTGGCTGCTACTTGGACACCCCCTGCTAGTAACATAAAACACAGCAGGTAAAACAAACATATTAATACTTGTATTTCACCTTTAAATGAAGTAAATTAGTGTAGACAGTTATGTTAAACATTACAGCAGTGATGGCAAAATGATGTACATACAAGAAGGAGGATGTGGTGTTGGTGAATCACTTAGACGGACTGCTAGTGAACACATTGCACCTGACATACGTGATGCAAGTCCTACCGATACAACCGATGATGATTGGTCTAGAGCACCATCTCTTGAAGATCATAGTGAGCTAGACAACTCTGCATGTGGTCTGAATGACCTCGACATCAAGGTATATATGATTTTATGTTATATACTCATTTAAACTATTAAATATATTGACCACTTTTTTTAATCATGAATAATCTGGATCTCGGTACGGTCGAATGGATAAAAACAAATTCAATTGTTATCTTCCAAGCTTTTGACCTATTTTAAGGTCATCATCAAGGGGACTGCGGTAGCCAAATTGGTAAGACGTCAGACTCTCATCTAATAGGTCCTGAGGTTGTGGGTTCAATTCCCACCATCGCCTTTGGACTTTTTTCTGACACCTAAGGGTACTGGTGGCAATGAACATTGACAAGGCACTCATCAATGAAAGGTCTGGTGCGGGATCGGATATTGGATCTCAGTGACCCTGAATTTGGTCCCTACCCCTTTGGAATGGGTCCAAAAATGGAGCAAGGAAGGAGTACAGTTGTATAGAGCTGCAGTCCTCCAGTTCCTGGCATCCCCCGCAATAAATATCAAAAAAGTCATCATCATATTAGAAATTATGAATATGTATTAGTACAGATAATTCAATAATCAAATATAGCTATATAGATCTTACAAAACTAAAACTAATGATCAAACAAACTAAAAAGTTAATGATTGATTGCTTTCATCAGATTGGCCTACATTTCGGGTCTCATAGGCCCCACAGTTACTATCATGTTCACCCTGAACCTTCATTCCTTTTCAGGCTTGTATCACATTGTTTTGTATCACCTTGGTGAGACATGTTTTCAAAATGATTCAATATAGCAAAAAATTAAAATTATCAGTAATATTTACATTGTGAGATAAAAGTGGGAAATCAATTACTTTTGTAATAACGTAATAACAATAAGAATTAAAAAATCTTGTAAATTTTGTAGGTAAAATCAGTTGCTAGAGTGGCACAGAAGCAATGCCAATGTGGAACTAGATGTGACAAACTTAAAGTTAAAAAAGTTGGAGAAGGAAAGTACAACATAGCTGGACGAAATGTATTTGTAAGAGTAAGTAAATTCAAGTTTTTATTTCTTTACATGTTCCCATTTATTTATTAATTTAACTTTTATTGCAATATTGCTATTTTATACATTATAATATGATATTTTTGGGTACACTGCTGGACAAATAAAAGTGCACACCTAAATAATTTTACTAGTAAATTAATTGTTTGTTTTCATCAAGTACAACACAATAGTGATTTTTTTTTTTTTTTTTTTTTTAATGGGGGTATTTCAACATCAAAGGTATTTAAAAAAAGCCCATTTGTAAGTATGTCAGTCTGAATCCAGCAGCCCCCTCCCCTTATAGCCACTAACACCCCTCATCTTGTTTAAATGAACAGGTTCTGAAAACATTGCTTATAGTATGTGCTGCTGTTTAAGCAGCTATTAACTTTCTTCTGCATGTACTGTCCGTAGGATGTAATTGCCCTCGCATGATTACACCCCCACCGTGATGCTTCCTTCCATGTTTGAATATTCATTATTGGTCATTCTCCACAGAAACATTTTTCAAGGTTGGGGGCCTTAATAGATTAAAGATGGTACTTTGGGTAAGGCATTATTATACTAACATAGAAAAAAAATGTTAAAAGTACATATAAAAAATCCATATACTTTATTAGTGGTCATAATTATTTCAATTAATTTTCTTTTTTATCTAAGGCTTGGTTGAGATGAAAAAGTCAGTCTCATGAGCAGGATTCGAACCCACGACCTTTGGCTCAATACGTCACTGCTCTAACCACTTGAGCGAAGTCGAAGTCACGATAGTTCAAGTGGTTAGAGTGGCGGCATATTGAGCTGAAGGTCATGGGGTCGAATTTCATGACACTGACTTTTTCAACTCAACCAAGACCTTACATTAAAAAAAATTAATTGAAAGCATAAAAAATGTTTTAATATAAAGATAATAATTTGAAGCAATTTTTTCCAGAAATAAAAGTAAATGATATGGGCAGAGGATGCCAAAACATCACACCCAAAGAATAATGTGAACTCAAAGCTACCAGTTCACAAGTTCCAATATTGGCCTAATAAAAATAAAACAAATAATCTATAATGGAATAAAAATAGAGAGACAAAATGAAAAGAAAAAATATATCTGTTTTTATTCTCTGTAACTTTTTATTACTATAGGCATCTTCTAACAAATTTTCACGAACTTTGCCTTTGAACATTTGTGAGAGGGAGCAATTTTTTTTATTGTTTGTAACAAAAGCCCAACTAACTAGCCTTCTTTGTTCCATTTTAGCGGAAATGCCAAGAAGATTTTGTACTGCAAATACCTTCATTTCTTTTTTCATTTTTTTAATTCAAAGCTCTGTTCTTGGTACATTTTTTTTCTTTTCTTTGTTGACTGGTAATAGTTTTAAATATTTTTTGGACAGATGAAAAAAGTAGATGGTAGTTCACCCCAACGTTTCTGTAATTAATCATTTTACAAGCATCACATGCAGATGCAGATTCCACTTTACAGTACATGTTAAAACAATCGACTGTCAAAATCTAAAACAGTTTTTCCTTGTTGGTTATGGATTGTTGTATTTGGCCAGCAGTGTATACCGACGTAGGGTCTTATTTATTTGCTCCTATATATTCACATATTTATTATTACACGCATTTGTTTTTATTTACTTATATTCAAATAATAACCTATATTGAAACTCTTTATTAAAGTTTTATAGTTAAATTCACTAATTCCGTGGTCCGCTTGACCAATTAATATATTACAATTAATTAAGGTTTTTAGTTGAGATAAAAAAGTCAATGGCACGAGCGGGATTCGAACCCACGATCTTCGGCTTGATACGCTGCTGCTCTCCCACTTGAGCTATCGTGACCTCGATCCACTCAGACACTAACTTCCCATCTCAACCCCACCTTTTGAATTTTCCCAACTTTTTGCCATTTTTCAATGATTTAAAATGAAGTATACTTCACTAAAGCTCTCCATTTGTATTTGATAACAAATCATTTTCCAAATCTGTTTGAACTTATTATGGTTTGAAATATACGTATATTAAATCTGATTACTTTCTGAATTATATGTTTAATTTTGCATCAAGGTACCAAAATTCATTTTCCTATTTTTTTAAATTTGAAAATAACATATTGTACATTGACATAAGCTATTTTTTCCTGTTTAGCTTCTTAAAGGGAGACATATGATGGTAAGAGTAGGAGGCGGTTGGGATACCCTTGAACACTTTTTACAACGGCATGATCCTTGTCAAGCAAGAGTGGTGAGTCGTCCAGTGACACCTGCGTCATCTGGAAAAATTCCTCGACCATATAGTGCTTTACAGTCTTATGGCGTGCACTCTCCTTCACATACCCCTCACACCCTGGCACGCTGATGTCCAGATTATAAATTATTAACTTTCTTTTTTTATTGTTATTCCTTTCAATATACATAGTGTGCTATGTAGTAGAATTTAGTTTTGAATTTTTTATGACTTGCACTTGTTAAGTTTAAATATTTATAGAAGTGGCATACTTTTGTTAAAACAAAGCATTAAGTTAGGTAACAACTAAGTTGTTATTAAGGTTTTTGTTTCAGTATTTTGTAAGATGAATTTTTTTTATTTCTACATCACCTTTTGTACATAGTTTACAAAATTAAATTTTATTTAAGTTTTGTATTGTATTTGTTTATTCTGCTTGGACAATTATTATTTCATCTTTGCGTGATCTACAAAAGGCTGACAGTTTTTTGTTGTAAAAAAAAGTTTTCTATAACCAAAATAAAACTTAATATACATGTTATTATGTTAACTAATAGCCATAGTATTAGTGAGTAAAAGAAGTATGTTTTTAAGAGTATGGTAATTGTTCTGTTGAATCAACAGTGCTTTCTTTTGGAAGCGTAATTTTTGACTATATATAGCATAAAATGGAGAAAATAACGTTTGCATTTAAAAACTAAATTTTATTTAATAACAGTTCAACAAGATATTAATTTATACTGACTATTTGCAAACTTTTAATTACTATTATTGATCATTGTTGTATCCAAGATTGTTTTTCATTAATTTGTTAGTTATACTTAACTGTTTAATGACTAAAAAGGAAGGAAAATATTGTGCTCTTTTTTTATCATCTATGTTTCTATAATAGAACTGGATATTTCATGAATAAAAAATTGACATTATTGTTTAGAATGAAAAAATTGAGATGGATACTAAGAATGAATTGTATAAATGTACTATATTTTCTTTCGATAATTAACCAGCCAAAGAAGGTTTAACATCAACAAAGTTAATTCAGGTAATGAATTTTTGTTGTGAATAAATATTTAAGATGAGTGATTATAATGTGTTAATAGGTACCAAATTGGCTTAGTTAACAAATAAAATATTCAATAAATATGTTAACAAGTTCAATAAATAAATATTCTTGATTTTGTTAAAAAAATCCTTTCATAATACCATTAAGCCATTTTTATTGTCAAATAAAATTATTCATGTTACCTAGTGTTCTTCGTTCTACCTATATTTAAATGAAAGCAAAATATATTTCCACTTGACATAAGTATTTAAAAGGATAAAAGTTATTCTGTACCACCGGCCAAATGTTTGTCTATATGTAATTAATTCACAGTGTACAGGAGCTATTAAAACATTTTAAACAAGCACAAAGTAAGCAATAAATGCAAAGCATGATAGCAGTACAGTGTATGTGTAAAGATGATGCAAGGAAATATCGAGGGTGTCACGCTACTCATATCACAAACTTCACCAGTGAATTTCACACCTCCAGATTGACAAAAAAGTTCGTACAAACCATGGTCTCTCAACGCTTTTGCAGATATTCAACATTTTAGGTTTTTTTTAACTATCTACGGTTTTAATCACAAATCTACTCATTGCTCCTGAACTATTTGAGGAGGTTTAAAAAAAAATCACTAAATCTTTCAAAACTGCTAAACTTAAAATTTGTAAAAAACTAAATTTGCAATCCCGTTGGAAAAATTCATAGTAGAGTTGAGAAATTTCATAACAACGTTTTCATTTAATAAGCTTTCTAGTGGTATACCCTTTTCTTTAATTATACTATATTAAACATAGACATTTTATGCTAAATGGGGAAAAAAGTGGTGATGATGTAGAAAAGAGAAATGGGACTAATCTAGTAATTAAACGTTTTGCCCTGAGCACAGTTTATTTACCAACTTTAACTTAATAAAAACAGCACATAAAGAAAGAGACAATAAACACAGCTAACAACTAAAGCAGAAAATATCTATTATACTATAATAAACAGAAACAAAAAAATTACAACAGAAATTGCAAAACAGCACTAACCTAATAAAAAAGAACAAAAAAAAAATCAATGTAATCTGATTGTAAACTATGTTTATTGTATCTTTTTTTTGTATTGTCCTTTGTCTGTGTTTAGTGTAATATTTCGTCCAATTTTTCTACTTTGGTTGTTTGCTATATTTATTCTTTTTTTTTATTTCATTTTTTTCTTTTTGGGCTTTTACTTAAGTTCACCCTTAATACATAAGTTAAGCAATTTAAATTGATGAGAACTGAAATGCAATGGAGTTTCAAAGCTTACAAAATATCCAGAATTGCCTTGTTTACCTGTTTATGAGATAAATTTTTTTTACAGCCTGTGTCAATAAGACAAAAATCTATTCACAAAATATATCCTCTCTTTACTTATTTTGCATAAATGAACACAAATAATAACATTTAATTACAAGAAATACTACATGCTAAAAAGAGAGATATTAAACACTTTAAATTCATAATATGATTAATTATGACGCATTATGTGTTTATTTATTGCTGAGCCCTTTATAGGTCAGTGTGATAGACCCCGCAGTCTTGGGTTCGATTCCCACCGTTGCCCCTGGCCCTTTTTTTCACGCAACCCTTCCCTCCAAAAAGAATACGCATCGCATGAGATATATCGTTAATTGGCTATGCAAAGTTCATAAGGCCATTAAAAAAAAAAACTTTTATTAGATTTTATTGTTCCTTACACTGAAGTATTATTTACCCTTTAAATTTTAATTCTGCAGCAGACACATAGTTATTTAAATATATTATATTCTAGATATTTGTTTATATCAATCGTCAATGAATAATTTGAAAACACTGCAAAATAAACCTGATGCAATTTATCTCTTCCTAGTTATATTTTTCTGTCATACACAGCATGTAGCTCTGGATAAAAATTGCTGTGTATTAAAAAAGCACATAAATTTACCAAGTTAATTGTAAATAGTTTCAATGTTCTCAGTTAATTTGGCAATTTGAAAGTTACTTTAAAAAAATTATGCTTGAACTCAAGCACTATTCCGTTTTAATCTTGTAATCATAAATTAAATATAGTAAAATGCAAATGAATTTTTGTTGTGAATCATAAAATAATGCCATTGTTCTGTACTTTATTCTATAGGCGATGAAATTTGATTTCTTCTATTTAACCAAGGAGTACAGTATTGTAACAAACAAACTTATCCTTTTATTTTATGCAATTTAAGGCCTAAATTATTTATTTTACTCTAATATTTTCTAATGCATGTCTTATTTATTTAAATATGCTGCATGAGTGCAACAAACACTATTTACATATATCTTTTAGGTTAGTGGCAATGTGGACACTTAACTTGAAAATGTGCATGTGTTGCACATGTTTCTACAATGCGTAATATTGAATGATAATATATTTTGTATGCCATTGCTGTAATCATGATTATTTCAAAAATTTAAAAGCTTCAGCTGATTCAATAGCACGTTAATAATTACGCTTTTTCTTATTTTTATTGTTTCATCAATTAACTTATCCTGTGGTGCATGGTTACCTTAAAACTTTTAAAATTTTTTTTAATCTAGTTTTTGAACATTCTGAAGTTTCTGTGTAAGCATTAATTAATCACCAGGCATTAATTTACTATCAAAATTGTCGTTTCCATGTGTTCGGCCAAATGTTTGTCTGTATGTCATTAATTCACAGTGTACAGGAGCTATTAAAACATTTTAAACAAACACAAAGTAACTATAAATGCAATATCTTTGGAAAGTAAAATTCAATTTTGACAATACATACTATCAGTTGTGAATTTTAATTACTTGTGTTTTACATCCTATAATATGTACTCTAACTTGTTAATTGTACTCCTGTACTCTATCTCATTCAGGATGGTGAGTGTGACACTGTTAACTTGTTTTTAGTTGTCAGTATTAGAAGTATCGACCACTTTTTCACTTACGAACACTCTGGATCAAGTTATGTCTTGAAGAAGAAAGCAAATTTACTTGCTACTGCCAAGCTTTCGACTTATTTTAAGGTTATCTTCAGGGCCTATATTAATTTCATATTATGAAAAACATATTTGTACAATTGATTTAACAATCAATATAACTTACAGAACTTACGAAACAACTGTAAATATGTCTACAGATTGGCATATTTAAGTTTTTACAGCCGATCTCAAATTTCCTTGAAGACCGACTCAGTACTAATATTACCAATGACTGTAATAGTATTGCAACCTTATCCTGGAGGTCCTCCTCTCATCCTTCAAGGACCACTTTTTAAAATTAATAAGAGGCCATTTTAAGTCATATTATACAAGTTTATGAATCTTTAATAAACAGTTTTAAGAATAAATGTCTCTATATGGAAAATTATCCTATTGTAAATCCTGGAGGTGGTTCCTTCTAAAGTACAAAACACATGGCGTCTTTCTGTCATTTATCTCCGTAACATAAAAAGTGCGTATTGTTGCATAGAAGACAGAGATAGTCCTTATAATATTAAAACGTGCAAACTTGACAGCAAGTTTCAAAAAGATATATTAATATCCAAATAAAAAACTGCATTTGGAAACTTGACAATTGAGCTCGTAAAATTGAATGTGTTGTAGGCAATCTCAAAGTAGTTTGTCCTAAGCAACTGTTAAACAAATTTATTAAAAAATCAGCAATAATTCTGTGACAAAGTGTTTTATAAGAATAATGTAAAGTTAGAACAGAAATTTGCTTCTCTTATATCAGTTAAAAAGAGAACTTTAGCCAATAGTAACAAAGAGGACAATTTAGTGAATAAAACTGGTGTTCAAATTGATAAATAAGTACTTGAAATACTTCCACTTGTCAATTTACCGTACAATGAACAGTCTTTATCATTGGACACTAAATAAACGTTCAATTGGAGCCCTTTTCTCAATTCTGATGGTTCGGCTAAATAAATGGCTGAGTGAAATGGTCGTCGGTGAGGACAAATGTCGGTAGTTCGTTCTCCTACCTAACTAAAGATACAACGGTGATGTTTGTATCTTCTTAATTTGACATCAGCGAAACCAATTCTGTAGTTTTTGCGACTCTACAGTGTTAGCATAGTTTTTGCATCTATTGACTGTTAGCACCTCCAAATCAAAATTTGAAAGACACAGGAAATGGAACTGGACAACTGACAGCTGACAATTCTGGCGTCCATTATTTATATGCCAATTTTATATTAACACACATAANTCAACTAAAAACCTTAATTAATTGTAATGTATTAATTGGTCAAGCGGACCACAAAATTAGTGAATTTAATGAATTAAATGAAGTACACTTCACTAAAGCTCTCTGAGGCCATT